GCCCTGCTGTCCGACGGTGCCGCCGTCCGTGCGCTGCGGGCGAAATGAGGCCGCTCCTCGCCCTGAGGCTGCAGTGCCGACTCCATTAGCAGGAGTTTCAGTTGGAAGTCCCTCTCCTTCTTAGTCCTGGGTTTAAAGCTCTTGCAGATAGAGCAGCTTTCAGCTCGATGAGCCTCACCCAGACACTTAAGGCAGTTAGAATGAGGGTCTCCGCAGGGCATAGGCTTGGAGCAGGAGGCACAGGGTTTGAAGCCCTGGGGCCCTGGCATGCCCTCCCCTCGCGGGAGGGTTCCACTGCTCCCTTATCTAAATAACTATTTACAATACTTAACTACTTAACTAGATAAGAAACTTCAACTGCAAACTATAATACAACGGATAAGAGATAAGCTGCTAAGAGATAGGCATTAGCCTGAAGCCCGCTCCAGCTACCATCACAGGCGGTAAGAAGGAACTGAGGGGTGGGAGGGCCAGCAAGGGTATATATGCACCGGTATACCGGCGCCACTCCAGGGGGCTCCCTGCTGGCCCTATGGATACTGCTAAGGGAAAAAAGCTCCGGAATCCGTGCACGCGGCGCGCGTACACCTAATCAGAATGGACATGAGCAAGCACTCGAAGAAGAACTTTATTAATGACCTGGATGAGGGGATGGATTGCACCCTCAGCAAGTTTGCAGATGACACTAAGCTAGGGGGAGAGATAGATATGCTTAAGGGCAGAGACAGGGTACAGAATGACTTAGACAAATTGGAGGATTGGGCCACAAGAAAGCTGATGAGGTTCAACAAGGACAAGTGTAGAGTCCTGCACTTAGAATGGAAGAATCCCAAGCATAGTTACAAGCTGGGGACCAACCAGTTAAGTAGTAGTTCTGCAGAAAAGGACCTGGGAGTTACAGTGGATGACAAGCTGGAAATGAGTCAACAGTGTGCCCTTGTAGCCAAGAAGGATAATGGCATATTAGGTTGCAGTAAGAGGAGCATTGCCAGCAGATCCAGAGATGTCATTATTCCCCTTTATTCAGCTTTGGTGAGGCCACATCTGGAGTAGTATGTCCAGTTCTGGGCCCCCCACTACAAAAAGGATGTGGACACATTGGAGAGAGTCCAGCAGAGGGCAACAAAAATGATTAGGGGGCTGGAGCATATGACTTATGAGGAGAGGCTGAGAGACTTGGGTTTGTTTAGTCTGCAGAAGCGAAGAGTGAGGGGGGATTTGATAGCAGCCTTCAACATCCTGAAGAGAGGTTCCAAAGAGGATGAAGAGAGACTGTTCTCAGTAGTGACAGATGGCAGAACAAAGAGCAATGGTCTCAAGTTGTGGTGGGAGAGGTCCAGGTTGGATATTAGAAAAAAAACTATTTCACTAGGAGGGTAGTGAAGCACTGGAATGGGTTACCTAGGGAAGTAGTGGAGTCTCCATCCCTAGAGGTGTTTAAATCTCAGCTTGACAAATCCCTGGCCAGGTTGATTTAGTTGGGATTGGTCCTGCCTAGAGTAGGGGGCTGGACTTGATGACCTTCTGAGGTCTCTTCCAGTTCTATGATTAAGAACTGGAGGAGTACATTCACACACCCCTTTTTACTCTTTGTGGAAGCACAAGGATAGCTATGGCCAGACACTGCCTGCAAGAAATTGATGCAGACACATGGTGCACACCTGTATCGCACATGTGGCCTATGCATAAGGACTATCACTCGAAGAACCATTGTTTATTCAAGGCCAGAACAGCCATGATCCCACTTGGGTGGCTAAAGTGTCCTGCAAAGCATAGTGAAGTTGCATACTTCTAATCAGCTATCCAGAAATCCCAATAAAGGGCCAGACTACTTAAGAGTTCTAAGAAATGCAAATGGCACCATAATGAAGTTAGTACTAATAGCTGTATCTTAAGAGAATTAGGGCTTGCAGGGTTCTTACCTTTTCAAATTCTGCATCTATCTGGGAGAGAAGAGCTGGCTTTTCATCCTCAAAGAACATTCGCAATGGGGGTCCCACATACAAATACATGACGCCCAACAAGGTAATAGCAGCAATCCTTACAGCCTGCCAAAATAGAACAAAAAACACTCAGATTTCAAACTAAACAGACAGCTTTGAAGTTTCAAAATTAATTCACATTTACTCACTGGATTAGTAGCAGCAAGAGCAGTCTTTACGTTGCTGATGAAAGCTTTCACATTCAACCTGAGAAACAATATAATGAAATCAAGATAGCTCAGTGGACAACACCAGTAAGGCAAAGAAGCTAGAGTTGTGGAAGAAACAGTATCTTTTAATTGGCTAGATAACTATCAACATCACACTCCCCAAGCATCAGACATTTACATTTGTAGAGACACCTAAAGGTATTGTAAGTTAACAGAAAACTATTTCAAAAGTTGTGAAATCTCAGTGAAATACTGCCTTCATATTTATAGTAAGCTAATCCTTTTGTTGCCAGAAAAGCTATTCTGTGAAGCAAAAATGGTCACATATATTGTAATGATATTTCTACTTGCCCAATACACATAAGACTAGATTTTTTTAAAATGGTGTACCATGGACCTCCGTGTGATCATATGCAAGGACAAATAAATGAATGGCTATGACTCCTCCATCCCAACGTCCCTTCAGATTTGGAAGCCCTTGGTAGGTAGTGAAGGACTCTGAAAACTGAGGACATGGAATACACACTGAAAATATATGGAAAAACAACAGACAGTATAGGCAAAGGAGAGGTTATTTATCTTACAGGAGGGGTGGAGAAAACTACAGCATGCGGCCAAATCTAGACCTCAGCCTACTTTGATCTAGTTCTCAGTGAGGCTCGGGGCTTCCCCCTCGCATCAATCAGGGTGAGCCAGCACTCATGCCATAGCCCTATGGCTAAGTCTCCAAACCTTGGTGCTCCTCTCCCCTCTCCCCACTGCAAGGGGAAGTCCTGAGCCTGGGCTTCTCTAACCTGCCTGGGGTTGGAGTGCAAACACAGTCCCAGTGCCCAAGTTGCGTTGTGAGTGTGCCATGAGTGTCATTTTGCTTCTCAGTTGAGTCACATCAGTGTGGTGATTTTAATTTTGGTTCAAGGGTTTTTTGGGTTTTTTTGGGCGCTTCTCATTTGTGGCCCCTAGCTAATTTTTCTATGGGTCTGTGGTCCCTCACCAAAGAATAGTCCCCTCCCCAGGTTCAAGATGTTTTTATCTCTACAGGTGCTATACCATATGATGTGCAGACACTCATGAACTCTTTATCAGAGACTAAAGAACTGTTTTCAGAACAGCACCTCATATTTCAAGTGAGGGAATACAGGCAGACAAGCTTTATTGTTACTCAGTTCCTTCATAGCCACAGAGATTTCACAAGTAGAGGGGAAGGAGGATAGGAAGCGGAACACCCACAGGAACAAAACATTTAGAATTCTCCTTTCTAAGTAACCTCCCCTTCGAATATGTGCCCCCATTGGTGTTTCACCATAGGAGAGGCCCAAATCGTAATTCTGAGAGAAGATGGGTGCTGGGGAGGTAAATCAAGAACTAGCTGGAGAACTGCATCACCAAAAACAACGCCTTCTCTGGAAGATGGTGTAATGCTTGACCAGAAGCAGGCAAGATGCAGTCCACAGGCCACCCTCAGATGCAGAGAAGCTCCATGCCACTGTAAGTGGCTCACTGCTCCCTGTGACTCTCTGCTCTCAGTGCCAGGGGAAACTTTGCACTTTGCCCCCCACCCCCGGAAAATCTCTCAGCTCAAACTAGCCAATGGGAGCTCTGTAGCCAACCAATGGGAGCTGAGTGATTTTGCTGGAGGTGGGGGTGGGAGGTGAGCAATGCACAAAGCCTCCTCCTGGAGCAGAGCGCCACAGGGAGCAGCCAGCCATTTTGAACAGTTTGGAGCCTGCCACTTAAGCACCTCCTTGCCACAGCCTGCCTCTAGCAACCCAGCCCTTCCTCTTCAACTCCCTGCCCCAGACCACCATCCCCTCCTGCTCAAGGTCACCACCCAAACCCTCTGCATCCCCACCCCCTTCCAGATCAACTCCCTCCCAGACTCTGTACCCCCAATTGTATCCCTCCCCAAGGCCAGAATCCTCTGCTGCAACCATAGCCCCCTCACCCAATCCCCAGCCACAGGTCACCACCCCTTCTCCTGAACCCCAGTCTCCAACACCAAGCTCACTTCTGCACCCAACGTCCACCCCAGATCCACAAGAAGTAGTTTCAACCAAGTCCCTCTCTTTTTCCATCCTTGTTGAGAAGCCTTTGCAGATTTTCTTCTTATCTATTTGATGTGCTTTCCCCAGCACATCAAACTAGAGTCATGTGGGTCTCACTTTGACAGATTTCAGACAGGACCCACATGATTTGAAACAAACCAAAGCATGCCCTGGTCCCTGGAAGGGGAAATGTGATGACTGGGGAGGGAACCGCCAAATTAAACTTATTTAAGCTAAGTAGATGATTTAAACTAACTTTAAGATTTGAACTATTTGCAGAGAACAATGAAAAAGTGCATTACTTTAGTGGTTCTCAATCGGGGCCCAATGGCCCCCTGGAGGGCTGACTGCAAGCAGGTTTCAGGGAGTGGGAGAGGGGAGGACGACTGCCAAGCAGGGCCATCATTACATTTGCTCGGACCCATAGTTGAAATCTAAAGCCCCACAGCATGGGGTTGAAGCCTGAGCTTTGAACTCTGCAACTTGAAGCTGAAGCTGAAACTTAGCAAACTAACTTTTCAGGGGCCTGTGGGATGAGGCCCCAGATGCTTGCCACCTTCTAATGCTGGCCCTGGCTTTTATGTGCAGAAAAAACAGTTATGGCACAGATGGGCTATGGAATTTTTATATTATGCTGAGCAGTCCTCAGAAAGAAAGAGAAGCTGCTCCAATGACCATCACTGATGGTAAAAAAGAAATGAAGAGGTAGCAGGTCATGAGGGACCTATATACATAACCGGGAAGGTGTGATTCCAAGGGACTCCACAGCCAATCCAACAGGTACTGTTAGGGGGAAAAGCCTTCTAGCTATTGTGCACATGGTACACACAAACACCTATTTGGAATCGATATGAGCAACCACTTGAAGATGACAACTGTCTTCAAGGTGCAATGGTGTATAGAGCATTCCAAGGTACAGTGAAATACAAGGTCAAATGGAGTCTCCATGTCAACAGGAATATATAGAAGTCCCAAGCAGGAGTAAGTTCTGACAGGGGGAGGAGAGTAGCAGACGTTTAAGCAGCGTTGACACCATGGGGTGAAAGATGACAGAATGTGACTAAAGTAGGCAATAAGCTGGCATCACTGCAAAGTTGACTTTAACAGAGCTGAAGTCTGGCCTGCCCGAAACACAATGTAATCAGACACTCAGAAAGAGGTTCCAACAACCAAAGTCAATTGAGCAGGACAACATGGTACTGGGACCTTTTTATCTATCCAGTGTTTCATGTCAGAGCAACCAAGTGTCCAAACAGGAGTAGATATGCCTTGTCTCCTCAAATCAGTCACTACTACCTTGAGGCATTTCATTAAAACCTTTTGTAGAAGTAGCAGTACCTTGTACTAACTGCGATATAATCGGCTATGAATACAGCCCTACCAAATTCAGCCATGAAAAAAGCATCATGGTCTGGAAACTCTGTTCTCCCCTATGAAGTCTGTATCGTATAAGACAAAGCACACACAAAAGACCAATGTTTTTTAAATTGCGGGTCCTGACCCAAAAGGGAGTTGCAGGGGTTAGGGAGCGGTCACTATTACCAACCTTACTTCTTTTAAGTTGGGTGGCCAGAGAGTAGCAACTGCTGGGCAAGTGCTCAGCTCTGAAGACTGTGCTGCTGCTTACTTGGCAGAGAAATAAGGAGGCACTATATACCACACCCCCAGTCTACCCTCTAATTGTTTATGTCCATGTGCACAATTACTTTTGTTATGCATCAGTGGAGTGGGAACCCTGGGCCCCTGGCATGGGGCTCATTAGGTAGCTATGCAGCCACCCAACTGGGCAGTTTAGAGGGAACTTAGCATGCCACCCTTACTTCTGCACTGCTGCCTTCAGAATTGGGTGGCTGGAGAGGGTCGGCTCTGGACAAAAAGCAACAGAGACTGCAACCCAAATTCTCCCATCAGCAGGGCAGGATTTCAGACCTCCAGTGAAGCATCCATAGGGACACTGCTTGAAGAAGTTAATTGGTATAAACTCATGACGAGGGATGTTAAATTGCATTTAATCAACTAATCAATGGAATTTCCATCGACTACTTGATTAGTCAATAAGAGGGGAGACTGCAGAGCCACAGCAGGATTAGCTCCCAGGGCCGGGAGCTAACCCTGCTGTGGCTCTGCTTTGTTGCTTATTACATTTAAAAGGCAGAGGCCCAGCAGGGGGCTGCTCCCCCACTGGCCTCCGCCTCCCCTGCCCCCTGTAGAGACAGTGCTGGTAGCAAGTCAACTCCCCCCAGCATTGACTCCTGCTCCCCCCTCCACTCTTGCTGCCTCTATTAGAAGCAGGAGAAGGGGGGGGATTGGCAGAGGGGAGGGAAGAGAGAAGCAAGTAGTCAAGGAGTGACTCAACTAGTCACATAGCTATTCGTGACTTCCTTATTTTTACTATAAAGATATATTAAACACTTAACCTGAACCACCAAGACGTCCACACTACTGAATAATTGATACAGTGCTGCTGTTCATCTTGTCTTCACGCACCTCCTGTCTAAGTATAAGTTGCCAGCTTTCTTGCTGTGAAATGCTTAGCACACTTTGGAGTTCTATGAAGAGAATAGGCCAGCATTCTTCTCTGCAAAGATTTCAGCACCAGGTGCACTTATTTACATGTTTTAAATGCTTTTTGAAGCTCTAGTTAAATGTTTGGGAACAAACGCTTATGTGCACTTGTCTCCGCAATCTTTCAAAGAACTGTATAGATCCACATAGAGTTCTGTAGAGAAGAAGAATGTAGTTCCTACAAAGAAAATTTGCATCACAATTTTCCTATTCAATACCTTATCCTAAGACTTACCCTGAAAAGCCAAACTCTTTAATTGCATTTGAGAGCCAGTTCAAGGTTTCCGACTGGTTTTTAGGATTCTTCTGAGAGAAAGCCATGGACATAGCCTGGAATCAAAAGGAAAAATCTTTATTGTCATTGATGGATCAGATGGAGCACCTGCATACAAGACATGTGCAAACATGCTGGCACCTGCTAAGACTTGATTGAACTATTAAACCAAGTTAGATAGGGATATATGCACAACAGGTATTTAATACTCTACTGTGGGGAGAGAGTGATTGCAATAAGGCATCTGAAGAGATAGTTAGGGAACTAGTGGTAACCTTCATTCACTCCTCACTGACCTGTTCAGCAGTCCATGGCAACAGACATGCTTCTGCTATTGCTGTCATTGCTTCTTTTGCATTACTTCCACATTTCACGTCACCAATCTTATCCACAAGACCATCCAGCACAATCTGTGCAGACGTTTTGGAGAAGTTCCCCTTCTGCGCAATCAGGGCAACTATGTGAAGCTTCATTTGCATTACCTGGGAAGGACAAACAAACAGCAGTCATAACATTAGAAAAGTAAATAGACTTATGCGTTGCTATATGTTCTTGCCTGGACCACAATGCAGCTCAGAGTACCCTGAAGTTCTGTCAAAATCTCAGAAAACAAAAGTAGAAATAGTTTAAAGAGAAGGCTTATAAACACTAAAGAGGTGATGAGCAACTAGCAGGACACTAACTAGACAGAGCAGTATCTTACAGTAATACTGGAAGTGTTATAAAATCTTACAACCCACCATATTAAGATTTTGTAAGTCTCTCAGCTAGGATAGCAATGGAGTCAGATTTACTTTCTGCAACAAGTTCTTAAATTTTCAGCAATATATTTCAAAATGTTGTACAAGGGAGGATACAGGTAGAAACAGAAGTACGGGGAGGTTATAACTTACCAGCAGTCATACAGCAAGTCAACAGCAACATCGTGTCTACTCACTTCTGGTGTCATACCTATTAGGCTGCCCTGCCTTACTCACATTTATAAGCAAGCATAAGTTACTGCATGTCCTGGAGTCTTATTAAATGCTTTAAAATTTAGCCATCCCAGTGTTGCGAAAGAACTTGTGCCATAATTAAAATTGATATTCATAGCTTATCTTAAGAGATGAGAAAATACAGATCAAGCAGAAGTGAGATTTCTGAAGCAGGGGTTTCTTTGAGCCCCTCCCCCTCATGCAATAACAATTCAACAGCCCAGCTGTGTCAACTGTTTTTCTGCATATAAAAGCCAGGACCAGCATTAAAGCATAGCAAGCAGGACAATTGTCCTGAGCCCATCACAGGGGGAATCGTGAAACTAAGTTGCTCAAATTTCAGCTTCAGTCCCAAGTGATGGGGTTGGGGGCCAGGACTACAGTCCCTCAAGGCAGGGCTTTGGCTCTCTTCCCTGGCTACTAGCAAATCTGAAGCCGACCACGTTTGGTGGATCCCCTAAAACAGGTATGCACCCCCACCCTCAGAAGGCCCTGGATTCCAGTCTCCTTGTTAAAAGCCACTATTGTAGAGTATTGACTGGGCTTCTTTTTATGGAACACCATTGCTCAAAATCCACATGCATCCTTTGAACAACATTTCAGGTTACTTGGATCATCTCCTCATTGTTACGGAGGCAAACCACAATTTTCTTCTCTTGCTGACAAAGCCACAGAAGTATGACTAACCATAGTTTACTCAGACAAAAGGACTTCTAGAACTACTATTAAAACTGAAATGCTTCTGTCACTACTTATACCAAAAATCTTGTATCTTCAGCTATTGTTGTATGTGATGAACGAGCATTATGCTATGTTAAAAGGCTCAGAATATTTTAGCTGAAGTCAACTGAGAAAAATTTTATTTATATTGGTGATCAAAAATATATTTTCTACAAAAACCGAAGTTTAGGGCTAAATGAAGCTAACAATGTTTCTATAAAGATGGTGTCTAAATATGAAGGCCTTTACACATTGCTCCCCTAAAGGAGAAATAGATACGTTCAAATCAATGTATTGACTAAGTAATGAAGTAACTTGCAATCAGCAGATGCTTTTTTAAAACTAAGATCTGTATTTCTTTTAGCTTGTAAGAGGGTACATTGAATTGCAGTCTCTTGCTACAGCAATAATCTGGGGATAGATTTGGTAGATAGGCAAAAGAGTTGTTTACCTGAAAGTTAGTTTCCTTCCACCCAGGTTTCTTGGCTAGCATCCTCACCAGAGCCTGGCAAGGCATTTCACTTCTCTCCATCAGTTCAACAGCCTAAAGGGTCAAAATCAAATTAGCCATGAAGTCCAAAATAAAATGAAAAAGAAAGTAATTGAGGCTTCTCAGGAATAGGACTAGTCTGAATTCCATTATACACCAATAGATATAAAGTGTTATGTCCCTTTAAGCAAAGCATTTGTATTGTATTTATAAGCCTTTGTTTAATTTAATTTGTGCCCATACAAAATACTAGAAACATGAGCAGCCATACCCAACAACATTTTTTTTTAAATGGCACCATTGTCTTGGCCAAACACTGGATTTTTTTGGAAGATTCTTTAACTATTGAGAGTTGCATCGCATACCCAGTACCGTTTCAATTTAAAACAAGTAGACAACTTCTTACAAGAATGGAATGTAGACATCTTGGACTTAAGAGTCTAACTTTGTAGCTTTTAAAGCTGCTCTTCAATCCATTCCAAGAGGGTAAGTTGCATATTGCTGAAAACTTGAATGCTTACTGACAGGGTTAGAGGCGGAATGCTTCTCCAGACCCCATTGGGCTGTCAAGTGCAGCCCTTTGTGGTAAATGGGATATGCCAATACACTTAAGCCTATTTTATCATCAAGTGCAGCCCTTTGTGGTAAATAGGTTATGCCAATACACTTAAGCCTATTTTATGTTAAATACTGAATCTCAACAACAGTTGCAATAGGATATGAAATATTTGCTCATGTGGAGTAGCTGCCTTTTAAAGTAAGACTCAGCCCAAAAGCATCACGTGGCAGGGATGCTTTTTAAGGGAAGAAAGCCAGCTCCACACTAAACAGAGCAGTGTTTGTAATTTATAATGCAGTGTCCTTTCAGGGAGACAATGGAGACCCTTCCTACTCCCAACTGTAATAGCTGATGTAATAAGGTGCAATCAGGGGGCATTTGAAACTGTAGATGTTTTCCAGACAGCATTTTGTATTTTAATTGCTGCCTAGTATGGAGACAGCCGGGATTTTGGTAGATTGTGGCAGACATTCACAGTAGTCACAGTAATAAGTTGAGACTAAATGGCAGCAGAAAGTTATTAATCCTAGTTTTTCATTCTAAGAGTCACCCTCTTACTATTTACTGCACGATACATACCTTCTGAAACTCTTCCATGCAGGCAAGCCTTTCCTTCCAGTTACCACTGTCTAGCTGCTGTATGCAAGAGGCTGGCAGGACAGCTGATGCTTTCTCTTCGCACACTTCTATCTGCAGACAGAATACAAGGTTAACATCTTACCACGTTTCCTTGTACATGGAGCAGTAGATTGGTCTCCTAAGTATCTTGGGGCATGGTTATCTCTAGAAAAGCCGGTAGGAAGAGGAGAGAGCGAGAGACTGGAGGCTCAGGAGAGAAGTCCAACGTGGAGGAGACACCTAAAAATCCCATCTTATGAAGGGCTAATTGGCTAGTTAGTAAATAAGACACCAGAGATCCAGGAGAAGAAAAAAAAAATGTTTTTGTTGAGATGACTGATGTGGATTAAGGCTTATAGGCCTTGTGGAAGTGGTATTCTGGAGGCATTTGAGTTAGGAGAAAACGATTTGTCTCCTCTGTCATAGAGCATTATCCTAAGTATGATGACCAGAAAAAAAGTTAAACATACTAGGAGGAGAGCAACATATAATCTTGTATGGGCCGCTCTTAGTTTTAGGGTTAAGCCAATTTTAGTTCAGCTCTGCAAATATTATGACTATTTAGCCAGGCAGACACAAAGTCAGTCCCCAGAAGCACTGATAATGGTGGTATGGGGAAGACAATTTACATGTCCATTCTAAGAGAAGATGAGCAGCACTAAGCAAGGTTATTTTAGTGCATTATCTACATGGAGGGAGCATTTTTCATTCATTAACTCCACTAGGTTCCTCCCTTATATCCACATCTCTTTCAAGGGTTGCATATTTGACAGCCTGTCCAACGTGTTCAATTTTTACACCAATAGCCTCAAATGACTTGGAAAAGTCTCATTTTCAGATCTCTCCATACACATCTAAATCAAAAGCTACACAAAAGGAGGCATCCAAACACTTAGATTACTTTCTTTTTTAATCACTACTCCGCACATAGCCAACTTTCTTGTGTTTCAAACCTTTAATTTCCTTCACGAGAACACAACTACTGCTACAAACAGTATTGCTCAGTCTGAAACACTTCAGGTTACAGTTAATCCACCTCCTTTTGCAATTTAATCTGAATAGCCCAGAAGCAGACTAGATTTTTTAATAGGTAGGCCTGATCGAGTCACTGGACTACCTGGTATATTTCAGTCTAAGTTTCAGAGTTAACCTCTAGAATACTCTTTGATTTCTAAGGGCTTTTAACTTGAGAATAGTACTTAATTACACAATTAGTAATTTCTGTGAAATATATCTCAGCCTCCCCCTAGAACCCTACAAATTTGCAGATATCTACTTTATATTCACAGGTATCTGCACAGGGTTCTATTTGTATCCATACAGGATTCTACGCATTACTCCCAAAAGCTCAGTTCAACTGAGGCCAGTGTCAAGTTAATAAAAATGCCCACTAATATTTGAATCATGGTTTGTACAGAAAATAGCCTTGTGCATTTAGAGGCTTCATAGTTCAAGATGAACAGTTCTGTATGGTTCTTCATATACTGTTATAGTTTAACCCACTGTTTTCTCCTGCTTCAGGTATTCCAATCATAACTTCAGGACCATTAATTCTACAAGAGAATAACTAGTACTGCTTACAAGATACTGCACTGCACTTTCCATTTTAGAACACAATATAGTACATACCGAGAGTTCAGGTTCAAATATCTCTTTGGTCTCAGATCCTTTCTTGCCTTTAGTTCCAGCACCTCCTGCACCAGCAGCAGCTGCTGGCTTGCCTTTCTTCGGAGGGCCCCCAGACTAAAAAGGAAACAGAAGCAAGCAAGCATCAACCTCAATCCACCTGAGTTCAGAATCAATATTTAAAATCAAAGTCTTGCTTTCCAACATTCCATGCTATACTTCCAAGGATACATTAAGGCTAAGGTAGTCTATTTTTTGTCTGAATTTCTTGGTCAAAGTATAATCAAGGCCCAAATTCCAAAAATGCACTTTTCACAATGCAATAACAATGACAGTAAGTATTAAACAAATATGTTGTGGTTCATTCAAAAGCCTCTGGTGGTCTGGATTTGGCCTAAGTCTCCTTAATGCAGGCATAATCAAGTCTTCTGTAACAATGTAATTGGACAAACAGGTTGTTACTTTTAAACACAGTAGTATGCAACAGGCATGGTGATAACTATGAACACGTTAGCTCAGACATTGTATTTGAGTCAAATAGCAGCAAGACGTTAAGAAACAGTGAAACAGAAGGATTAATGGTCATTTGAAAAGGGTCAGAGATAATTGAATTAATTTCCGTTGAGGTTGCAGTTAGGCCAAGTGTGGCTGGTAGCCTGGAAAAATAAATGTACGTTTTCCACTACAGTACTAACCAGGTGTTTGAGACCCTTGATCAGTATAAATACTCACTTATACATTTGTCAACAACTATTTGGCCAAGCGAAGGGGATGGAAGGACATTTGAACAACATGCTGTCTAAAGCCTTTAAAAATTTAAATGATCAGTTTAACTGATTTTTTAAATCAGACTGGTGGGTTACAGAATATTTGATAATCAGGAAGCTACAGCATTCCAGAGTATATTTATCTATCACAAGAGCAATACATTGTCAGAGTGTGTTTTCTTCAGCTATGTGTTAGAATGACACTGGTACACTCAGTGGTATTATAGATTACAAAGCCCTTTGAAAATATTCAATGGGCTGTCTACAATGTCATGTCATCAGGATTTTGCATTAAAAAACACAAGAAAGAAATCATGTATCAGATAAAAATCCTCAAATCCATACCAAGTTGCTTTCCCAGAGAGTACAGGGTGAATTCTTTTAAAGCCTGCTTGTTAAATACTGAATCTCAACAACAGTTGCAATAGGATATGAAATATTTGCTCATGTGGAGTAGCTGCCTTTTAAAGTAAGACTCAGCCCAAAAGCATCACGTGGCAGGGATGCTTTTTAAGGGAAGAAAGCCAGCTCCACACTAAACAGAGCAGTGTTTGTAATTTATAATGCAGTGTCCTTTCAGGGAGACAATGGAGACCCTTCCTACTCCCAACTGTAATAGCTGATGTAATAAGGTGCAATCAGGGGGCATTTGAAACTGTAGATGTTTTCCAGACAGCATTTTGTATTTTAATTGCTGCCTAGTATGGAGACAGCCGGGATTTTGGTAGATTGTGGCAGACATTCACAGTAGTCACAGTAATAAGTTGAGACTAAATGGCAGCAGAAAGTTATTAATCCTAGTTTTTCATTCTAAGAGTCACCCTCTTACTATTTACTGCACGATACATACCTTCTGAAACTCTTCCATGCAGGCAAGCCTTTCCTTCCAGTTACCACTGTCTAGCTGCTGTATGCAAGAGGCTGGCAGGACAGCTGATGCTTTCTCTTCGCACACTTCTATCTGCAGACAGAATACAAGGTTAACATCTTACCACGTTTCCTTGTACATGGAGCAGTAGATTGGTCTCCTAAGTATCTTGGGGCATGGTTATCTCTAGAAAAGCCGGTAGGAAGAGGAGAGAGCGAGAGACTGGAGGCTCAGGAGAGAAGTCCAACGTGGAGGAGACACCTAAAAATCCCATCTTATGAAGGGCTAATTGGCTAGTTAGTAAATAAGACACCAGAGATCCAGGAGAAGAAAAAAAAAATGTTTTTGTTGAGATGACCGATGTGGATTAAGGCTTATAGGCCTTGTGGAAGTGGTATTCTGGAGGCATTTGAGTTAGGAGAAAACGATTTGTCTCCTCTGTCATAGAGCATTATCCTAAGTATGATGACCAGAAAAAAAGTTAAACATACTAGGAGGAGAGCAACATATAATCTTGTATGGGCCGCTCTTAGTTTTAGGGTTAAGCCAATTTTAGTTCAGCTCTGCAAATATTATGACTATTTAGCCAGGCAGACACAAAGTCAGTCCCCAGAAGCACTGATAATGGTGGTATGGGGAAGACAATTTACATGTCCATTCTAAGAGAAGATGAGCAGCACTAAGCAAGGTTATTTTAGTGCATTATCTACATGGAGGGAGCATTTTTCATTCATTAACTCCACTAGGTTCCTCCCTTATATCCACATCTCTTTCAAGGGTTGCATATTTGACAGCCTGTCCAACGTGTTCAATTTTTACACCAGTAGCCTCAAATGACTTGGAAAAGTCTCATTTTCAGATCTCTCCATACACATCTAAATCAAAAGCTACACAAAAGGAGGCATCCAAACACTTAGATTACTTTCTTTTTTAATCACTACTCCGCACATAGCCAACTTTCTTGTGTTTCAAACCTTTAATTTCCTTCACGAGAACACAACTACTGCTACAAACAGTATTGCTCAGTCTGAAACACTTCAGGTTACAGTTAATCCACCTCCTTTTGCAATTTAATCTGAATAGCCCAGAAGCAGACTAGATTTTTTAATAGGTAGGCCTGATCGAGTCACTGGACTACCTGGTATATTTCAGTCTAAGTTTCAGAGTTAACCTCTAGAATACTCTTTGATTTCTAAGGGCTTTTAACTTGAGAATAGTACTTAATTACACAATTAGTAATTTCTGTGAAATATATCTCAGCCTCCCCCTAGAACCCTACAAATTTGCAGATATCTACTTTATATTCACAGGTATCTGCACAGGGTTCTATTTGTATCCATACAGGATTCTACGCATTACTCCCAAAAGCTCAGTTCAACTGAGGCCAGTGTCAAGTTAATAAAAATGCCCACTAATATTTGAATCATGGTTTGTACAGAAAATAGCCTTGTGCATTTAGAGGCTTCATAGTTCAAGATGAACAGTTCTGTATGGTTCTTCATATACTGTTATAGTTTAACCCACTGTTTTCTCCTGCTTCAGGTATTCCAATCATAACTTCAGGACCATTAATTCTACAAGAGAATAACTAGTACTGCTTACAAGATACTGCACTGCACTTTCCATTTTAGAACACAATATAGTACATACCGAGAGTTCAGGTTCAAATATCTCTTTGGTCTCAGATCCTTTCTTGCCTTTAGTTCCAGCACCTCCTGCACCAGCAGCAGCTGCTGGCTTGCCTTTCTTCGGAGGGCCCCCAGACTAAAAAGGAAACAGAAGCAAGCAAGCATCAACCTCAATCCACCTGAGTTCAGAATCAATATTTAAAATCAAAGTCTTGCTTTCCAACATTCCATGCTATACTTCCAAGGATACATTAAGGCTAAGGTAGTCTATTTTTTGTCTGAATTTCTTGGTCAAAGTATAATCAAGGCCCAAATTCCAAAAATGCACTTTTCACAATGCAATAACAACGACAGTAAGTATTAAACAAATATGTTGTGGTTCATTCAAAAGCCTCTGGTGGTCTGGATTTGGCCTAAGTCTCCTTAATGCAGGCATAATCAAGTCTTCTGTAACAATGTAATTGGACAAACAGGTTGTTACTTTTAAACACAGTAGTATGCAACAGGCATGGTGATAACTATGAACACGTTAGCTCAGACATTGTATTTGAGTCAAATAGCAGCAAGACGTTAAGAAACAGTGAAACAGAAGGATTAATGGTCATTTGAAAAGGGTCAGAGATAATTGAATTAATTTCCGTTGAGGTTGCAGTTAGGCAAAGTGTGGCTGGTAGCCTGGAAAAATAAATGTACGTTTTCCACTACAGTACTAACCAGGTGTTTGAGACCCTTGATCAGTATAAATACTCACTTATACATTTGTCAACAACTATTTGGCCAAGCGAAGGGGATGGAAGGACATTTGAACAACCCTCAACAACTATATGGCTAAGCGAAGGGGATGGAAGGACATTTGAACAACATGCTGTCTAAAGCCTTTAAAAATTTAAATGATCAGTTTAACTGATTTTTTTAAATCAGACTGGTGGTTTACAGAATATTTGATAATCAGGAAGCTACAGCATTCCAGAGTATATTTATCTATCACAAGAGCAATATATTGTCAGAGTGTGTTTTCTTCAGCTATGTGTTAGAATGACACTGGTACACTCAGTGGTATTATAGATTACAAAGCCCTTTGAAAATATTCAATGGGCTGTCTACAATGTCATGTCATCAGGATTTTGCATTAAAAAACACAAGAAAGAAATCATGTATCAGATAAAAATGGTGGAATCCTCAAATCCATACCAAGTTGCTTTCCCAGAGAGTACAGGGTGAATTCTTTTAAAGCCTGCTACTGTATACTACCTACTCCTGAAGAAGAGATAGAACAGGAACAGAAGAAAAGAATTGTTCAGATTAATTTGTAGATTAGGTTCAAAGGGCTGCAACTGGAGGAAATATAACAGAGCCAACATTGAGTTTTCAACCAATCACTCTCTCAGGCAGACTGTCTATATTCCACTTACCTTGGCAGCAGGCATCTTTTTCAGAGGCCCTGATTTGGCTGAAGTATCTTTTGTATCCTTGTCCCCTGCAGCCCCCGAAAGAACGAGAGTCTTTCCAGCTGCAGGTCTGCATTCCTTTTTATCGACTGCTCCTCCACCTGTGTTCTTACCGTAAGCCAGCTCCACCTTTTCAGCGCACTCTTTAACCTAAGAAGCAATGTTAAGAGACCAAATCCATTTAAGTATAGTTGCCGTGTCTAACCAAAGTCACCAATCCAGAGCCAGTCTTGAGCCACTACAACTCTAGGAGGTACATAAAGCATAGAAATTATTTTACTGTCCAAAAAACTAATGTTATTTAAAAGCCAATGAGAAATCCTGTGGCACCTTAAAGACTAAACAGATTTATTTGGGCACAAGCTTTTGTGGGTCAAAACCACTTCATCAGACCCTCTTAGCATGTTATTTAAGCAGCACTTACTGTTAACAAGACAATGTCATCAAGTTGAACATCTAGTCTACCCAGTACAGTTTCTCAATATGTGCATACAATTCCCATTAATGCAAGAGGAAGATTTATATAGAGAAGGTGGCCTTCTAAGTAAGATTAAAAGCAAAGTCAGCCTTTAAAGAAGGTATTACTGACTATATTGTTTTAAGGCTTAAAAAGCCTGTCAGAATCTATACATTGGTGAATACCTCACACTGAAGGGATAAGTCCATATACAGTGTTATGCAGGATTCGAAGCTTAACTAAGGCCACAAGCAGATGGCAGAGTCCCAAACTCCACCTTGCAGCTAGAGGATAAAATAGATTATTACAGCCACAGCCTCCAAGCCAATAATAGAAGTCTTGTAGCTAGATCAGGATTTAAGGTGCCATGTTAGCTAATGTATGTTAACTGACACATTTTAGAAGTCAGTCTCTTTAATTATCCTAAACGGAACAAGTTACAGCGTACAGTTGGGCGGAGGAAGTGGGGGAAGAGAAGTGAACATCACACCTTTAAATACTAGTCTACATTAAGCCTGAGAGAATACATCTTACTAATTATTCCCTATATGAGTTAATAAGTTTGTTATGCACAACAGACTAGGACACTGCAGAGGTGCAAATGCACTGCACTTGCCAGTATACACACACAGCATACTGTCCAAATCCATGAACTCACCCGATCAAGTTTGAGTTTGTCCACGTCTGTTAAGAAAGGGTTCACAGCTTTCTCTCCAGCCACCTTCAGAGCAGTTCCTAAGGCTTCAAATGCAGCATCTCTAACTTCAGGGGCAGAGTCATTGATATGCTGTTGAAAGAATTCATTTGCAAAGTACTATTATAATTTATAATAGCAATGCCCTTTTTTACTCTAAGTACTTGTGATGGAGTGTATTGTGTGAAAGGAGGTGGTATTATACTGTAAGTACTTGTGATGAAGAGTGTATTGTGTGAAAGGAGGTGGTATTAGTTTAGTTCACTGTCTAGTAGTTACCTTAAAGCTACTGCCCTTTCAGATTTCATTTTATGACAGTGCGGTAGAAGTTTATTTCAGAGGAAAAAGCTGATGTGTCACAAGTAGGCCTAGTCACTGGAGTCTCTCCTAAGTCAGAGAATTCCAGACTTTGTCCTAAGCCTCTACCTGTTTCCTAGGGGAAAAAATTACTGATCTTTTGCAAACAGTTCTTCTAGAAGTTTTGCTCATGTCCATTTCAATAGGTGTGTGAACCCCACATGCACAGCAGCTTTTTCACCTAATAGTACCCATCGGATTGGCTGTGGAGGCCTCTGGAATGGCGCCTGCATGGCATTGTATATAGGGCTCAGCAGACCCTCCAGTTTCTTCTTGCAATCTGTTTTGACAGAAGGGAAATAGGTGGGATTTGGAATGGACATGAACAATACATCTCAAAGAGCACTTACAAAAGGTAAGTAACTGTTTTTTCTTAGACCAATTACTCCTGCTTTTGTAAGTAACTGTTTTTTCTTAGACCAATTACTCCTGTACATTCCAATATGTGACATGCAAGCAGTTTACCTGGAGGAGGTACTGGAAATCAACGTATTTCCATCTGAAGAACTGATATCCCAAACACCACATTATCTCGGGCTTGCTGGGTAATGACGTAGAGCATTGTGAATATGCTGACAGAGGACCACATTGCTGCCCTGCAAACGTCCTTAATGGGAACCTGTGTGAGGCATGCTGCTGAGGAAACCTGTGGTCTTATAGCGTGACCTGTCAGGACTAACACTAGGAACTTGGCCAGGTCATAGTAAGACCTGATGCAAGACATGATCCAGGAAGAGACAAGCTGGTTAAGATGGGCAGCTACCTCATCTGCTCCTCTATTGCAATAAAAAGTTGCAGTGATTATGAAATGGCTTGGTGTATTCAATGTAAAAGGCCAAAGTGCACTTGACATCCTAGGGAGCAGGCCATACATTCTCTGAAATGGTACGTGATTTTGGGAAGAACATGGGCAGAAAAATGTGCTTGTTAATCTAGAAGTGGGAGACCACCTTAGCCAAAGAAGCCAGGCAGATACAGAGTTGCACCATGTCCTTATGAAAAATCAGTATACGGGTGTTCAGAGGTGAGTGTTTGGAGCTCCCAAACCCACCCAGCTATGATTATGGCCACTAGGAAGTAGGGATGTAAAATACCGGCTAATCAATTAACCAGTTAAATGTCAGGTCAACCTAAGGTTTAACCAACTAAATGGGATCTAGGCTGGGGACTGCTTCAGCCCAGCTGGAACAGCCCCCAGCCCATGGGTCTTCTGTCTCCACAGACAGAACTACACTGGCAGGTGGGGAGCTGCTCCAGCCCCCATTGGTTAACCAGAACTGGTAAGCATTACCTGCTTTAGGGTGATGCTTACTGGTTAATCTTCCACATCCCTATTAGGAAGGCAACCTTCCAAGAGTGGTAGGACAAGGAACAAGTAGCCAGAGGCTCAAAGGGGGGCCCCAATGAGCCAGGATAGGATTAGGTTGAGGTCCCACTGAGGGACGGAGTATAACCTTTCTAGCCCCTTGAGTAAGCACCTTACTGTGGGGTTGGAAAAAAGGGACCTATTTACTACCCCAGGTACAGAAAACTGAAATGGCAGCCCAGTGGGACAACAGGACCAGCTCTCAGTGCTTCAGATGCAAAAGAAAATTGAGGATCAAGGGCACAGCTGCCTCATCAGGTTGACCGGCCTTCTGGAAAGACCAGTGAGAGAAGTGCTTCCACTTAGCTAAATACATAGCCCCAGTGGAGGGTTTCCTGCTACCCAACAGGACTTCCCTAACTGGGTCCAAGCACTGAAATTCCAGAGGGTTTTGCGATGGAGTCTCCATGCCATGAGGTAGAGAGACTGGAGGTTGGCGTGTTGCAGCCAACTGTGGTTCTGGGTGAGAAGGTTGGGAGAAAGCAGTAGGGCAACAAGCATGTCCACCAAGAGGCTGAGCAGTGTGGTGAACCAATGATGCTGGGGCCACAACAGTGCAATGTCAGGCATGATCCTCAGATTCTGCCACATTTTGAGGAGGACTCTGTTCCCTAGCAAGTAGCTATGGCTTCAGGAGCAGAACCTGTGGCATTTCTTGTTGCTCCTCATGGTAAACAGGTCCATGTAAGGATGGAGAGGGTGGTATCAGTCGTGAGACACAACTTGTGGGTCTTGGAGCTTCTGATGTGTAACCTGGATGTTCCAGATAGGGATGTAAGAGTCTAGTCGACTATCCGATAGAGGTAGCAAGGGGCTTTTGCTTATCACACAGAGGTAGCAGAGGGGAGGGGGAGAAAGAGCCAGATTAAAATCTGGTTCCCTCCAGCTCCAGCAGCCAACTCTGAAATGTACAAAGAGTTCCCACTAGGGCTCTTGTACATTTAAAAGTGGAAGCGCTGCAAGGAGCCTAGGGCCAGCGAGGGACTCCCCACCAGCCCTGGGCTCCATGCAGTACATTTCAAATTTGGTGCATAAGAATCCCCAGTGGGGGCTCTTGTGCATTTCAGAGAGGAAGCGTAGCATGGAGCCTGGGGCCAGCGCAGGACTCTGAGTCCCCTGCTGACCCTGGGCTCCATGAAGCCAGGTTTTCCACACCACCTTGGCAGTGGACTGAATAATTGTGGAGCAAAGCCACTTTGGACAGACCTTCAGGGACCAAGATGTTGACCAGAGTCCACATTTTCCACCACCTCCTCAGCGGGGACATTAAGGCTACAAGCCAACTCCTGCAAAAGGTTCTGAAGTGCCCTTGCATCAGGGGCAGGGAGGGAGGAAGATGTGCACGTGACTACCTCACCTGGGGAAGAGGATTCCCTGGGGATAGGATCCTCCCGACTTTCAAGCTACCTGGAAATACTAGGGGGATGAGATACTGGTGGCTCAACGATAGGCACAGACAGGTGCAGAGGCAGTGCATGTACCAGAACTAGCTCCGAGAGATCAGCTCTAGTGCCACAATGGTAGCTAAAAGCAGCTGATGGGACAAGGCCATCAGTCTCGCTTGGGATTCTGGGCCTTGACCTTAATGGTAGGTCAGGGATGCCCAGAAAAGCCACTGTGCAGGGACCTGCCATTGCAGGGAGCCAGGATGACTGTGGTGCTGGAAAAGCATCCCAATGTCAGTGCTAGGAGTGGTGCCAGTCACTGCGAGACACAAAAGACTCTGACTCAGACATGTACTTAAGAGCCAGACTATGGAGGCACAATTCCCAATGGCATAAGTTCCTGGGGCAGTCCCGTGCCATGGGCAGCACCAGTGGCCAGGCAGGTGCTGGTGTCAAATAATTCCTCATGCTTGGTGTCTGGGCTGGGGCATTGACAAGAACCAGTGTGCCAGTGGCGTGGCGTGGCCTGTGCCAGTGCTGCATGCTCCATTATTTAAATCAGGTCTCCTGCCACCTCAAAAGTGTCCAGCGTAGAAGGGAAGCCCAGAGCCTCTTCCAGAACCTCCTGGCCAGTGACACCAGACTTGACAGCCCAGCACTTAGTGGAAGGTGCTTGGGGTGCTTAACTGTCCTTAATGTATCCCACTGAGGGACATTCTGAGGAATGGTGGCTGCTGGCCTTATTGGCTAGAGACCAGCCTTTGCTCAGCCTGGCCATCTTGTGCCACACTGGAGATGGGGAAGGGCATGGAGCCAAAGATCAGTTCCAGTGCTCCTTTGGGCCTTCTCTATAAGGTGTCTATATGTCCTGCATTGTGCATAGTCTGGCACTGGGGATTGAAGGGCTGACTAAGTAGGAGTTTCAAATGCTGATCTCTCTCCTGCTTAGTCTTGGGCTTGTTAATGCCCTTCACTTAAATATTTGGAGGCAAGTTGTATGCACAGGCTTGCCACAAGCAATGAGGTTCTCAAACCCTCATTGCATGCCCTGGGGGGAAACTTGAACAGAGAACGAAAAAACAAACTATCAACCCAGTCTAAACAACAGCTAACTATAAACAGGAAAACAGGAAGAAAACAGCTAGGCTTTTTTGCAGAGCAAGAGAACAAGTGCTCCAATAACCATCACTGGTGGTAAGAAGGAACTGAGGAGATGGAGGGTCAACTAAGCTTGCTATATATCTCATCACAGCATGCAGGTGCCACTCCGGGGAGCTCCACAGCCAGACCAATGGGCATCAGCTAGGATAAAAGCCTTCTGACAATGCATGCACCAAACACATACCCCTAATGGAATGCACATGAGCAATCACTCAAAGTCCTTTTCCATTTGGGAAACTAAAACATGATCAAAAAATGTTATTTCACTGGAAAAGAGAAAAACAGCAGCCATCAGTGAAGGTTAGTTGTCACCCAGTCCTCAGTTATTCTAACTTGCTGCACCAGAGTACGCAAAACTTCACTACATGGTACTTTCTATTAGAAAGGCTTCTCAGGTAACTCAATTCAATGCCTCCCATCACAACATACTGCTTCCTAGAGAAGAATCAATCCATCCTGTTTTACCTTAAGAAGAGCAGCACAGAAGGGTTTTAGCAGGCTCTTTGGCAGGGTGGAAGGTGTACAGTGACGAAAGCTTCTTGCAATGAACAGGGATGTCTGTTGCTTGATTGTGGGGTTTTTGTTGTCCATCACAGCCAAAATATCCTCACTTATGTTCTGCAATGTAGTCTAAAAGGTTGGACAAAGGCTGTTAGCTCCGGGAGAATAGAAGAGCCTTCTAAAAACACCTGAGTGACTGACTCTAGGTAGCATAGCACTGACAGTTTAGAACCATGGTGGGAAATAGAGATGTGACTGTTTAACTGGATAACCAGTAAGGACTGGAACAGCTCCCCATGTGCCGTGGGCAGAAGGCTGCTACAGACCCACCGGGGGCCTGCCATGGACAGGGGCTCCTCTGACATCCCCAGTCAGAGCAGCCCCTGTCCAGCATGAGCCCAGGCACCCCGACTAGGATGCTGGAACAGCCCCTGCCTGCAGGGAGCCCTGATGCACCTCAGGCAGGAGCTGCTCTCCCCTAGCCAATGCAGCCCCTGCTTGTGGTGTGAGAGAGGACAGGAGTGACTGCTTCAGCTGTTCTGGAGCAACTTCCCTCCCTCCCCTCCCCCCCAGCATCCTCCCCTTTAAAAAGTGAGCTGATGAATCAATGTTTAACCAATTAAATGGGATGGTTTCCCACTAGGGATATAACCCCTCATGCGGCACCTAGCTTTCCCACTAGGGATGTAACTAGGTACCTACCACATGAGGAGTTACATCCCTAGTGGGAAACATAGGTGCTGCATGGGCACCACCGGGGTTCTGCATGTGACCCTCAAGCAATTGTGTTTACTGTTGCCTACGTGCAGTACTGCCCAATTCCACTGTTTCTATCCACATACTTCTTTTCCTACTGATATTACTCAAGTGACACTGAGAAAGCAAGGGCACTGAAGGGCATGCTGATAAGGGATGTAAAAGGTTGTTAAAAATGTAACCATGTAACCACTAAAAATCCTAGCATTTACAGTTACATACACAGGGGGCTCTATAGTACAAAACTTAAGGAAGTTTTATACTACAGAGCCTGCAGAGAAGCCACCTCCCTGGGAGTGGGGCAGGAAGGTCTGTTGCCAGCTCCGCTCCCAGGGAGGCTTCACGGCACACCATGGACAGGGGATGCTCCAGTGACCCACAGTTCAATTGGCACACCCCACAAATTCTAGGTATGCAAGTGCAGTTAGCAAAACCACCCTATCCCGTGAGATTGACTTGGTTACAACAATCCTGTGGTCCACTGACGAGTGGCCTTCCTTCACTAGCCTAGGTTTCCCATCATTGGTTTATAACACTTGTCCTTACTGTAAGGAAGATTGCATCTATAGCTTCCTGCAAGGCCTGCACAACCTGAGGTTTCTTCTCTTTAAACTTCTCCAGGATAGTTGGGACAACCTGTTAAAAAAAAAAAAAAAAAGAATACTTCATTTGCCCAATTGCAGAAACAAACAAAATCCATTGTGTGTCCAGACTCATCTCATGTGACACTTCATTCCCTCACCATCTATGAGCGTATAACAAGAAGTTAAGGACTCCTCAACTTTCCTTCCTTCCTTCCTTGCCATAGGGACACAGCAGTTGCAGGAATAAGCCCTTGCTGGATCTAATGCCACCACCACCAGAAACAGGGCATTGGTCTTCCCTTATTTTAAAAAAAGAATCAGATTTGTTTCTAAGTGTCAGGGAAGCGGAGACACTTCTAACACTTTCCTCCAGCACTAAAGTCACCACCAGGATTAAAAGGTGGTCAAAGGGTTCTGCCTACTGAGGAAGGAACCTTGTGACCCAAGCCCCAATCCTGCTCTTCCAGGCTTTGCTGCCATCTGTTGGTCAGAAAGCCACTTTAAAGTTCTCAGTCTGAACTTCTCTCCATATATTAAAAAAACCCTTTTCCTGTGGAATGACAGAGTGAAGTCAGCATGTGACTCTGCGTCCTGCAGGACAAGTTTGTGTCCTATCACCCCTCAGCTGCACAGCTTCCTCCTGCCTTGGCAGCTGGGGAGGAAGGGAGGGAAGAGATTGGAGAAACCAGTGGATCCTTCCCCAGTCCAGGGTAATTGGCCCTAGGCCAGCCAGCTCCGGCAGCACCAAGAAAAAGGTCCTTCAGCAAGCAGCTGTTCCGGGGCTGGACCAGGCAGACTGGGATCTGCCCGGTTGCTCCACCCTGTCACACTACAGCATGAGGTGGCGTGGGGCCCCCCCCACACACACACTTGCCCCTCCCAGAGGTGGCCCATGGCCTGGGCAGCTGCTTCCAGGTGTGGTCACTGCGGAGTCCCAACCTGGAGCTACAGCCAAAGGTGGTGGAATCAGGGCAGGAGCCGGTGGCCAGGCTCATCTCACTTGCGGCAGGGCGGAGGGGAGCCCTGAGCCTCCCTGTACAGGGAAGAAGCACTCCCCTTCCCAGGCTGGGGGAACAGCAGCGCACTGTCTGGAGCCTTTTCCTGCACTGCCATTGATCAGAAACCGGCTAATGGGAGCAGTGGAAGTCTGAGCCTGAAGTAAGTTGCCCCCACCCCTCATGCCTAGACCCTGCCCTCCCACCCCCTCATTTCTCTCCCCACTGAGACCCTGCCTCTACAGCCCACTCCTGCCCCCCCCTTTTTGGCTCCCCCCCGCCCCCTTCTCACTTGTGTAGTCTCCAAGTGATTTTTTGAGGGTCAGTGTCCCCCAATCCAAAAAAGTTCCTCACCCCTGCCATTGATAAAGACAATGTTGAAACCTTTTTTGTGTTGGACATATTTAAAATAAAGCCTGACCAACAAGGCCCCAGTCGGGGCCCAGCCCCCATCTGGCCAGAGCATCCTGCCTTCAGCCCCAACCCTGGGACAGGCCCCACGGTCCAGCCCCCACCTGGCAGCAGAAAGACGACAGGGGAGGGAGGGGGGTTCGCAAGACTAGCTAATAGTTACTAGGGTACTGTGCCACGAGCTCACTACTAATCACCCTTTTTCTCCCCACTTCATCTCTTCTGCCAAGCAAGCAAAAACATTAGGGACATCATGACACTAGAAAGTTTGTCAAGGAAATGGATGCTTCAACATCTGTGTTTACTGGGCTTATTATTACATACTGTTACTATTATTTCATTGTTATGCCACCATGATTCCAGCATACCTACAACTATTCCAGAACAATGCTGCAGCACTACTCATTCTTACAAGTCAGTCAAGTTAAAGTACCTAAAAAGGTATCCAACAGATTCATCTTTTCTTTGGCATTTTTCTACCAACAAAACTTGTTGCTCAACTCTGATCATTCCATGGACCATTCCACCTTTCAGTCCAAAAGGGGAGGAGCCATACAAAGAATCAGCAGAGCAAACATAAGAAACTAGACAGACATTTAATACCTATACACTGAATAGGACTATTACTTTGGTATGAGCTGAAAGCAGACAGCACAAAGCAAATTAAAAATTTGGCGATTTCAACATGCCTATAAAAAAAGGCATCAGATGCAAGAGCTAAGAAACTCATCTCCTCACTCACATCTAGGGATCTCGCAGGTCATCTCCAAATCAAACCCACAATCCTGAACCTCATCTTCAGCCTCAACATCAGTATTAAATAAGGGTGTAAATGTATACCCAAGTACACAGTTAACTGATGAGACTGGGCTCATCAGCTAACCCCCTCAGTTACACGTGCACCTTCCCACATTGCTGCCCCTGTAGCTGTATAAACAGCACCAAATGACGAAATAAGCTATTTTGAAATACTCAAATTAAGCTACGCAATTTGCATAGCGCAAATTCTCTCTTATTTTGAGTTTCAGGTGCTGTGTAGATACACTCTTAGGAAATTCCAGCTTGTACAGAATACTGAAGCCTCTCCTCAGCAATACAGAGTTCTGTGAATACATGAAATCTTTTCTCTACTCTCTACATTGGCTGCCTATAAAATACCAAATCAAGATGAAGGCGTCTGTCCATATCTTCACAGCACTCTGTGGCCAAGGCCCCAGATCTCTAAAAGACCACCTAAACCTCCAGGATGAAGTTGACAACTTTACTCTACTGGCAAAATGAAACTTTCTATGAGAAGGTAAACCTGTGTGCTCTCAGAGGCCCAGCCCAAGATTGTGAATTGAATGCCCCCAGAAATTAAGGACCAGTACAAACCTCACCACCCATTTCTTTGACTTGCCTTCTTTAACACTTGGCAATATTTTATGCGAGTGTTTATATTTTGCACATCTCTCTAAAACAGGGGTGGGCAATAATTTTGGAAGGGGGGGCCCACTTCAAATTTCAGAAGCGGCCACAGGCCTTAGTTCTCAACCCTGCCCCCTTCCGCCTATCTGGCTGGGTACGGTGACCTCATTTTCTGTATCAGCTGCAGCTAGTAAGAATGAATTAATTTAAATTATGAAACAGATTAAGTGTTTTAACTCTCAGTTTATCAAACTTCATTTTAAATAAAGTAAAATATTACGTAAAACACAGAAGGTTTCAATGTTTTATTTGTGGCAGGGGTTGTGAACCCATTTTAAGTTGGGAGTCACTAACCCATCAAAAAAGGTTGAGGTTCACACAAGGGAGAAGCAAACTGCTCCAAAACCCCCCAACACTCACTGATGTGGACCTAAGACACTTCACTCCTCTGGTGCCCCAGCCTCACAGCGTGAGGGCAAGGGAAGGGGAAACTGAGGTTCAGGGCTTACCATAGACCAGAAATACTTTTCTGGGACTCTGAATTAATGGATTTTATGAACCTCCTTAGACTCTGGAGTAGGGTCAAAAATGAGGGGTACAGTGAACAAGATAGGGCTGCCAGCAAGTAGGATGGTGATGGGGTGCAGAATCTGGGAGAGAGCTGGGGTGCAGAAGCAGGCTGGTTGTAGGATGTCTGGCCAGGTTCTTGCTCCCTCCACAAGGGAGGATGCAGTGTGTGGTCAGGAGAAAGGGTTTAGCAAGCTCGGGGTGCCATGTCTTAGGAAGGGAAGGAAGTGATGGAGTCGGGTGGGGGAGAAGTCTGGAGAGGAGGGGGAACCTTACCTGGCTTTGTGCCCCTTTGCTGCCATGCTGTCCTACCGCCCCGGAGGGAAGCCCTGCTGTGGCACTGGCCATGCAGTTTGGAGTTGGACCTGGACCGTGTGGCAGCGCACCGCTGAGGAGCCTCAGCCACAGTGCTGCCTCCTCTCCAGCAGCTGTGTGAGGGAAGAAGGGGCGGGACTGAGCTCCTTTCCCCATGGGGCACATTCCATTGGTGGTGGGACCTGGCACTGCCTCGCAGGCCAGATCCGGCCCGTTGGGGGGCTTTTGCCCACCCCTGCTCTAAAACCTACCCAAACAGGATACCTCATCGTGCACACACTTCGCCCCTTAGGAAGAGAATGACCAAGATTGGTGACAGCCTTCTGTTACATCACTTACACTACTGGAAGATTCTTACGCTGCACCTATCACTGGAGTACAACAACTGACAGAACAGAAACAAATAGAGGAAGCTGTATAGTTTTACTGGACTCTTGGTACCTCAGGAAAGGGCTAAGTGTAGTATGAATATCCAATTCATCGACAGTCCCAAAACCTAGGGGTATTCCAACAATGACAAAGGACCCTGCTCATGCTTAGCCATGAACAGGAAACAAAGGACCTTGTAAACTTAACACAACATACATAGAAAAAGCTTTCACCCCTAGTCTGGCAAGTATCAAAGAACAAAGAAGGAACAAATGCATATCAAGTTTACTTTGTTTAAAAATAGAAAAAAGCCACGTCCTGGCAATCATTCAAAGGAACAGTTATTTTTAGGGCAGTCTAATTACTAGCACCATATACCAAGCAAGAAATGCATAGTGAAGTACCTATTACTTACTTGTCCTGCATATTGACCAAATTTCTTTCTGAGGCCCGTAGCCAGTCCAGCAAGGCATTTGGCAGCCAAAGCAACCAACATGACATTTGTGTCTTTTCCAACAACCTGAAAAGGAAAGATAGCATTACAGGCAAACGTGCCAGATTTCAGAGTCAAGATAAGTCTAGGTAAGGGGTGGGCAAGAATATCAGAACATTAGAATTGGACTTGACTTCTTGAGGTCCCTTCCAGTCCCGTGCCCTGGTGGCAGGACCCAATACCATCTACACCATCCCTGACAGATGTCTGTCTAGCCTGCTCTTAAATATCTCCAGTGATGGAGATTCCACAACCTCCTTAGGCAATTTATTCCAGTGTTCCACCCTGACAGTTAGGAACTTTTTCCTAATGTCCAACCTAAATCTCCCTTGCTGCAGTTTAAGCCCATTGCTTCTTGTTCTATCCTCAGAGGCCAAGGAGAACAATTTTTCCTCACTCCTCCTTGTGACACCCTTTTAGATACTTGAAAACCGCTATTATGTCCCCTCTCAGTGTTCTCTTTTCCAAACTAAACAAGCCCAATTCTTCCAGTCTTCCTTCATAGGTCATGTTCTCTAGACCTTTAATTATTCTTGTTGCTCTTCTCTGGACCTTTTTCAGTTTCTCTACATCTTTTTTGAAACGTGGTGCCCAGAACTGATCAGAGCAGAGCACAGAGTGGCCCGTGGCCACCTCTCCAGAACCCTTAAGCAGAGAACAGCTCACACTTTAAAAAGCCAGCTGTTCTCCATCCAGACCACTGGGGAAGGAGGAGGGAGACTTCTCATGATGTCTCCCCCTCCACACTCCCTACAGTTTCTGGCCAGTAGGAGAATTTTTGCTGAGAGCAGGGGCAGTATAGGAAGCAACCTCCCCTCCCCCCCCACCACTCCTTCTCATGCCCAGTGTGGAGCCACATGGAACAGCCTGCAGCAGACAGTCTGCCTCAGGTGTCTGCTAGTAAGCACCTCCCAGCCAGAGCCTCCCTCTGGCTCCCAAGCTCCTCCCTTCTCCAACCCTCTGCCTCCACTCCGCATACCCAAACCCTCTGACCCCTCCTGCACCCATACACCCTCCCAAATCTGGCACCTATCTACTGCCCCAGATGACAACTGCCTCCTATCCTAGGTCACAACTGCCTCCTTAACCCAAACTACCTCCCAGACCCCATTCTCCCTCCTGCACCCCAATGCCTTACCCCAAGCCTCTATCCCAGACCCCAGAATTCCTCCATTAATATCCTGGAAGAGTGCGGCCCTCTGCCACTTTCCAAAAATCTTTAAGTGCTCCCCCGGTCAAAAATTATTGCCCACCCCTGCTCTAGGTAGACTGACATTGAAAGGATGGCTAAAACAGCTACATAAGCTGCAACAATGAATTTGTTCAAAGTTAAAAGTGAAACAGTTACGTGGGGTACCCACTCAAACTGGGCCAGGCAATTTCATTGAAACCCAGGATACTACATGAGGGTACATCTACACTGCGTTCCTCTTTCGAGAGAAGAATGCAAATGCAGACAAACAAAATTGCAAATGAAGCATGGTTTTGAATTTCCCACAGCCGGCCGCAATTAAGCAAATGAAGCGTGGGAAATTCAAATCCGCACTGCTTTTACATTCCTCTCTCGAAAGAGGAATGCAGTGTAGACATACCCTAACTATCATGGTACACCAAAGCAAAGCAACATTTACCATTCAGTCAGTGAACTTCAGTAGTCCTGGCCAGTGAAAGTTCCCATCATACGCTATGTTAAATTATGCCTGGGAAAATTCTGTATGACTGTGCAATGCCAAGTTTATGCAGAATTGATCATCTGTGCACGATTTCGTTTTTCCCCGAAAAACTGGTGCTGTAGAGCTGCTGGACCAAGCAGAACCTAGCTCTCCAGCTTGTCAACTCAGAACATTGCTAAGGGAGCTGGAAGGTTCCAGACAGCTGCAATTCTCAGTACACCTTGAAGAAAGGAAGCAGTGTGCAGAAAACTCCATGCAAGCACTGAAGCCAGCATCAGGCTGTTTCTCTCTGGGCTTTAGGGGATAGGAGGTGCATGTATCACACCAGAGAGGCTGCTTTCCCACCCAAGATGTGCTCAGCTAGCACACAAGATTCACCCCCAAACTGAGGTGCCTTACAAAAGCAAAAATATAACAACAGGAACTAGATTGTCATTTTAACAACACTCTTCTCTAGGAGGAAATTTTTTTGTTGTCTTATGTTGTTAGACATACTTGCTAATGGGTATTTTAAAAATAAATTACCAAAATAAACTAAACTTGTTGCATATTTTCTGTGTCAAAATAATGCAGTATTTTAAAATCTTGTGCACAGAATTTTTATTTTGTGTGTGCAGAATTCCCCCTTTCCCCAGCAAAAATTACATGGCTATACACCAGTCTGCAATTGCAATCTGCTCAAGTTTTAGGATGTTTGGGCAAATTATGTTTTGCATCTGGATTCAAAAGGGTCATTTGGTTGCTTCTACCAGAGACCCAAAACTCAGTGGAGGTGCATGTACATGTGTGCGCGCACACGAATATGTGCATACATTTTACAGAGTGCATGACAGACCCAATGTCAAAGGCAATCAGAAACCAGATTCCTCTTCTTTCCACAAATACTTCTACTCCCTCCAATTGAGTCTGCATTAATTGAAAGTGTCCTGGAATAAATGGTTTTTAATAGTGGTTGATCACAAAGAAGTTCATTTCAGGGCAGCCTTTAAAAGGCATGTGCTCAGAGGGGCACATTGGTAGTGGCAAATTTTAAAGTCTCAGTCAGGAAGCCATATGATATACTCTTCCATTAGAAATACAAGTGCTGGATGAGAGACGTCTTCTCCATTGAATTGTGTTCTACTGGTAAACAGTATGTAAAAACGTTTACCATTTTGCAATGTCACTGAGCACCCCTTTTTCTTATTACAGCAACAGCATCCAATCTTATCTTCCCTATGCCATGCTACTCCAAATGTCTTTATCCTATTCCCTTTGTCTCAAATGCAAATACTCCTCAATATTTGCCACTCTACATAGGGATGTGCTTTCCCTGACTAATGAGTCATGGTACACCTCTAAATCTCCTCTAATTCTGCTATATTCTGTTTGAAGGAAGGATGACCAGGCCTGAACACAGTACAAGGTCAGAGCATCTCACTGATTTTCAGTATTTTTCTCCATCATATTTTGTTCTAAACTGCCTTTGCAGATACTTGAGAAGACACATATACCCAAATGTATGTTGAGAGGAAAAATCTACTTGGAGTCTCATACTATTTATTTGAGAAGATTATAGGTTCCTAATGTTCAACAGGGCAAGAGCAAGCCAAAACAATTTAAGCACCACTCTATTTAAGATCACAGTGGGTCTGATCAGCCTAAGGTGTAATTTGGACACAAGCATAGCACCAGTATTTGGTCTTGTGACCAGAGGCTGCCTTTCAGTCCTTAAAATCTCATCTGGCACTAAGCAGTTTACTAGAATAAACCAATGCACAAAATATATCTGGTACAGAGATGTTTACCTTCTTAAGAGCTTTCACCAAGTCTGCATAGTCTCCTGCTTCCAATTTGGGATTCTTCACCAGCATTTCAACAGCTTCCAGAGCTTCTTTCCTCTCTTGCCACTTTTTGGCTTCCTGAAAAGCAAAGCATTCTACATTTGTGCAGATCAGACCACTAACAGCTCTATCAAAGCTCCCTCTGGACAGACTAGAGACTCTAGAGCCTACCTTCATGCCAAAAAATTCAAATACCCTTAGTATCCTTATATACTATAAGCTTGGTGGCTACAGCTAACCGCTAGAATGCGCTCAAACATTTCAATTTCCATCTTGCTTTTTGATTTTACAGTTGTTTTGCAGATCAGACACGGTCTTGCAGGTCAGCTCCCTATTATTCATGTAACCCCACCATTTATTTGCAGGATGTAAATTATCCTTAAAAATCCATCAGTCCTCAATATTGTAGAGTTAAAAGTTAATTGTTTATACTTACTATTTTGTCATCAAAGTCTTTGGGAAGTTTGGAAAGAATCTCCACAGCTTCCAGTAGCTCATAAGCATCCACCTGTGGGACAACCTCATCCCCATCATCTCCTCCTACAAGTCAGGAAAGAATGATTAGTGGAGATATGCAAGCATTAGCAGAGAGGCTTGTCATGACAAGATTTCATTCTTACATGTCCCCATGCTCTCTTCATCAAACACAGGAAGGGAAGTAGACTATGAATGGTAACAGTTTTGCTACTTTGGTACTGGGGTGTTGATACTATTTTCTCCCCTAGCTGTATCTTGTTGATAGGATAGCGTGACCTATTGCTTTACACTGACGTTCAATACATCTTTTTGGTCTAATGTCTTAATAATGATGTTTTTCCTAGCAGAGTATAAAGATCACATAGGTTACCTCCATCCGCATCCCCTCCAGCTGCTTGCTGCTGCTCAAACTTTGCTTTTAGCTCTTGCTGGGAACGCAGGAATCTGGTCTGTTTGGGAGCTGCTGGTGGCAGCTTGACCCATTCTTCTTCCAGTTCTTTTAGCTGTAAGAATCACAAGACTAATTCTTGAGGCCTAAAGCATAAAACAGAACATTCCACCTACTGATACAGGATTACTCTAGGCAAACTTCCACCTTACTAAAAGCAGTGGCATTTTCCCTAAATTATCAGGAATTTTCTTTAGGTTCTAAGCTTATAATATGGATGGGCTAGCCTTTTCACAGTTCTCTTGCAATGATATTATAATCCTACAATGTTTGTCCTATTGTAAGGATGGCAAGAGGCAACAAAGCTAAACTTCCTTCTCCCAGAAGTATGGTAAACCCACTGTTCAGGATGGTCTAGTTATATTTAGGTTGCATAAAAGCATTACCACAGCGAAGGGAATTTTTACTAAAACCAACAGGCTAGATCAATGGGAAAAAAGTTATTTTGGGGTTTTGTGAAGAGGTTATGGACTAAATAAAGAGGAAGAATGGCTGGCTGAGTATACGAAAATCTTTATGCTACAGCCCTGCCATTATATGCATTAGAGTTCACGAAATAAGCAGAGTTGGGCCAACTTTGAACACTTATCTGTAGAGAGCAGTAATGTAAAGTATGTAGCGGGGAAGTTATAAGAATGAGTGAATAACAACACTGGAATATTTATGAACCTTCATTCACAGAAACTTTCCTCCGACTGAGACACTTCCTGTAGCCTACCTGAACTGAGTTTATGTTCTGTAATGGTGGTCTCAGAGCATCTCTTATCCAGCGGTAGATCTCTACAGCAAGGAGTTTGGCTTCATCTCGGACAGCCTTCTCTCGAGACTCAAAGAGTTTTGGCAACACTTTGATAATTGGCTTTAGTGAGATTATTTTTGAACCAAAATCACTGCAAGTTAAAAAATACATAAAAGTGTCACTGGAAGAGCATAAAATCCAAAGTCAGCCAAAGAGCATCATCATTAGCTAGCCATTATTTTGATAAAGCTGGGCTCTAAACTGAGCTGTTTGTATAGCTGATGCCTTTCATAGGCTGTCCCCCATACAAAAGGTTGTGTTGTAATACACACAATCAGGAATGGTTCCATCGATTAACATGTATTGTCATCATTTACCAATCAGAAGCTACTCATTTCTTGGGTCAAGGAATGATAGCACTATCACAATTCCTATCCTCCTGTATCTAGTTTGGAATAAAATCAGGCTTTTGAAGCCACTTCAAAGCATGTAATCCAACCTGCTACTTAAGTCAGTCCCCCTGCAAGAGAACTAGAAATCTCCTTAGACTAGAATTTGTGTGACCTAATTTTGTTATCACACTAGAATCTCCTTTCACTATCTTTGGAAGCGAACTGCAGAAAAGCAATAGTTATTTTGCCACTTGTTAGACCAAATTAGTGAGCCACAAGGTACTTCACAGTGCATTCTTTGACACACTGATATTTATCATATGCGCACACTCCTTCCCACCCCACCTTGAACCTGATCATCTACCCTTTAGAAAATTCTGCAAGTTGCAAGTGGTGCCTGTTGCAGTGTCTCAACTTTTAATCACTACTGAATGGGACCACATCAGTACTCTCTCCATTCTCAACTAATAACTGATCAGATGCTGGTGTACACTTATCAATGTTCACAAAAAGCTTTAAGAAACATATTAGCAGCAGGAGAAACATTCCAGTCATTGATTAAAAAAGAATTCAAATGAGACAATCATCCCATGCTAAGAAAGGTTAATATATACCAGAGTTTCCCAGAGAAGCATACTAGGGCCAATGTTGGCTCAGATGTTAGCATACATTTATGGTTATGTTGAGACTAAGGATGATGAGTAACTATGGAAGAATTCTGGTAGTTAACATGGCAATAGCAGATTAAAATCTGAGAAGTGTGAGAATGAATACTGAAGGAACATTAATTAAAACCAACAGGTTCCAATTGGTACACACCAGGCATATCTAGGTGCTCATGCACATAGATCAAAAATGCCTGCTCAATATACAGAATGAGCCACCAAGGCAGAAATCTCTGTTCTACAGTATTAATGTTAGAAATGCCAAAAAAGCCTAATCCTATTGGTCAACGGCAAGTTCCACTTTCAATTTGGTTTAACCATCTCATTTTTGGCGTGTATAAAATGATTTTATAGACTAGTATAAAGGATTGACCTTAACTATAGAAGGAGCTACAGCTGAAACGTCAAATGGTTAAGGCTGCTCACTAGATTCCCCAATTACACTGTTTTATAACACAAGATGTCATGTGATTCAAAAAGGCAATTTATAACTGATTATTACTCTTAAATCTAGGACACTACTATAGGATTCTGAGGCATTTATCGTCAAATAAAAATAGGCTGAGACAGGACATTTGCAGTAACAGTAAATGGGATGACAAAGGCCAGCCTCGTACGTCAGCACACTAGCTGGCCACTTACGTCTGTTCTAGAGATTCCTATGCTTAAAGTTTCTATTTCACATACCAAATACTGACAGTATCATACATCAAACACAATCAGATACTGCAAATTTAGAGATACTTAGACTGAGAAAGGGGAAAAATTATCTTGGTGGAGAAAAGAGGAAAGCAATAACAAGCCAAGATTAGCAAAGAACTACTACAGGTTTGACAAAAACTTCATAGACTGGTGAAGTTAGAGACTTTCAAGGAGATATTCTTTTAAAAAGTTAGTCTACAGATCAAGGGGACAATTAAGTAACGGATACAATGTGGAACTCCTGAATTTGTATCTTCAGATTTTTAAAATAGAAAAATATTCAGAAACTTATAAGAAAAATGCTTTTGCAGCTTTGATACATTTAAGATGCTTCATGTGACATTTGTGCCCAAGATATTCTGTAAATTACTTATACATTAATTGGGTTTCTAAGTAGTTTTTATGTTACATCCTTTCCTACTAGGAAAACATGGGTTATGCCAAATTCCCTTACCCATCAATTCTAGCTTCAAAATAAAAGTTTTCATGTTACAGCCTTTCCTACTAGGAAAACATGGGTTACGCCAAATTCCCTTACCCATCAATTCTAGCTTCAAAATAAACACTGTACAAGATATTTTTGTCATACCTTGCATGTAATTATCAAGACATTTAAAATTTACTTAGGAATGGTCTGAATTATATCAAATTCTTTAGTGAAAGCTGTGACTATCCCAAGTGAGGACTGTTTCATCAATCACCACATTAATAGATTACATAATTTGATGCATTACTTTTCAGCAGGGGGAGCATTTCTTAACACAGAAAACTGTTTTTATTTTAAACTCAAAGATACCTATTTACAATTGTTCTAGTTGATTCAATTATCTGTTCAGAAGACGCAAGTTCCCAAGCCTGGAATCATTAGCTCTGCTGGGCATAACCCTGCTTCTGTCATTCAGAGTTTTTAATATTAAACAATGTCTGGCAAACAGATTGCCAATACTAAAACCGATCAAGTTACAAGACTAATAATTGCAGAGAAAACATTTGCATCTGACTAATTTCTACACTGTACCTGTCAGGATAAATGCTGCCATTTAAAGAGAGTCAGTTTACTGTAGTTGTATTACAATTTAGAAGATTCAGCAATACTAAATTTCAGAGCCCTCCACAATCTTACATAAATTATGCACTACTTAACAGCATTTGGACTATAAACAAAAGAACTCACCTCAGTGCTTTCCTCAATGTCTCTATACATGCTACTATAATCTTAGGGTTCTTGTTGTCCAAGCCTTTTAGCAGCTCTTCTTGTACAGGCTCCCCCTTCTCAATTTCTATATACATTAAACATATATCTATACCCAACTCCTTTGCTCTGGCTTTAGGCTGATTGAACACCTTATTTACAACTCCAGAAATAACTTCTCCTGTTGTCCTGAAAACAGATGACAGCTTTAGTTTTCAGCAGAAAGAACAGCAAATGTGATTAATTCTATGACCCACAAGGCATATGAACGCAGTTCTTTGTATTCTTCCAATTACTCCTCACCTTTTAGAAGCTAGATCAGTGGTCCCCAACCATTTGGGGTTGCCGGGCGCCAGGGGGCGTGGCCGTTCGCCCGCCGGGCGCCCGGGGGGCGGGGCCCCCCCATAGCTGCATTCCGGGGGCCGGCGCTCTCCCCTCAAGCGCCGCGCGCCCAGGGCCGGGGCTAGCGCTCTCTCAACCCCCCTCTCCCAAGCGCTGCGCGCCCGGGGCCGGTGCTAGCGCTCTCTCCCCCCCACTCCCTCAAGCGCCGCGGGCACCGTGTTGGGGACCACC